GAGAGAGAGAGAGAGAGAGAGAGAGAGAGAGAGAGAGAGAGAGAGAGAGAGAGAGAGAGAGAGAGGCAGGTGGTTAGTTTTCATGTTTCCAGCACTCACGTATGGGAACTTATGGCAGCAATGTACTGGTGCTCGAACGTGGCGTCCTGCAAGCCACACGTTTCACAACAGTCAGAATCTATCAGATAACTCAGAACTCGACTGTCATTGATGCAGATAAACAGACCAAGGGTTCAAGTACACTACAGGATATCATCATCCTGAAAGCCACACATTTAGCAACACTAAAAAGGGACTCGACTCAACTGGCATTGATTGCATCATAGACCAAGGGTTCAAAGTTCACAGTTCAACCCCCTTGTCCTGTCCGATACCCCTCCTTTTTAAAAGTTTTTTTTTTTGTTTTTTTTTTTGTTTTGTTTTGTTTTGTTTTTTTGTTTTGTTTTGTTAATTTGGACCATTTCTCGATTTATGCGTGTCATCCTTGAGCAGGAGCCACACTAATCTTTTCTCTCTCTGTGTATCATTCCAATTTTAACGGATGTCCCGAAGGACTGTCCTGTCCGATACCTTTCAAACATCCTGCAAGTCACACATTTAGCAGCACTGAGGACAGAACTCGACTGCCGTTGGAGCAGAGCTAAAGAAGTCTGGTAAAAAAAAAAAAAAAAAAAAAGAAGAAGAAGAAGTCTGGTAAACAGATCAAGGGTTCAAAATTCAAATCCCTCTGGGATATGATTGGATGCCATTAAGGTTGTTTCGGACGGATGTACCCTTCCTAGTATACTGCTATGAACTCATCCGGGGTAATCCGGGTAATACGACTCCGGGAGCGGGCCTAACGGCGGGCTCCCTTCAAAAGCATTATGATGTCAACTGTTGAAACTTGAAGTGTTAAAACAGAAAATGAAACCGAAAGGCTCTCTGATGCCAATGGAAGCATCCGTTATGCCATTTCATAAATAAAAGATTTAGGGCACACTCACAGAAGCAGTTGCCAAAAATGCATCTGACCATGGCCAGACGTGGATAAATCTGACTGCAATCGTGTCCAGAAGCGGCCGGACCTGGATGGCAGTTTCCAAAAATGCATCTGACCGCAGCCAGCGGCCAGACCTGGATGGCAGGTTTCCGAAAATGCATCTGACCGCGGCCAGACCTGGATGAATCTGACTGCAATCATGTCCAGAAGCGGCCAGACCTCGATGGCAGTTCCAAAAATGCATCTGACCGTGGCCAGACCTGGATGAATCTGACTGCAATCATGTCCAGACGCGGCCAGACCTGGATGAATCTGACTGCAATCATGTCCAGACGCGGCCAGACCTGGATGAATCTGACTGCAATCATGTCCAGAGATTTGTTCACAAATACATCCGGACCCTCAGACCAGCTTCCAGACTACAGGCTCGTGGTCCAGGATCGGGAAGTTCAAAGCTGTTCCGGATGAAATTCCACGCTGATCGGAATCTCCCCCCTCTCTCCCCCCCCCCCAAAAAAAAAGCCGGTAAATTTGGGACAGAAGACTCGTCGTGGACAAATTGTTGAGCTGAACTCCCCACAGCTGTCTGATCCAACAAACAGGGCAAAGGGATATTTCTAAAGAAGCACAAGCACAGAATTGCGACCAGGTGCGGATATACTACCATCTTCCGGTGAACACAATCCCTCGTCATGACTGCATAGGACTGGAAAGATAGCTTGTATACATTACACACTACCTCTTCATGACTGTATAGGACTGGAAAGATAGCTTGTATACATTCATGGTCAGTGTGCGTTGTGTTTGGGGGAAGATGGTAGTTTCTCCACCATGATCTAAAGAGGAGAGAACATATTTACTATTTTTTAAGGGGGCAACGGCAACCCCATACACATTATCGTATCCGCCTGGTTCTGTTTAGGACGTGAACTCATGATCTGTTTACTAACAGTTACATTGTCTACACCATTCAGCCACATGGTGGGCTGGCTATTGATCATAATTTGCATGGGAATCTGGGAAAAAAAAAAAAAAAAAAGGCGGGAGGAGACGAAGAAGGTAGTCTGCGGACTCTGCGCTGTCTCCCTAATCGCTTCTCCTAAACCCTCCTTCCACTTCGCATTCTACGACACACCACCTGCGCCGATCCCCCTTTGATACCCGCCTCCTTGCTCTGTATATCTTTTTCAAAGTGAGAAATAAACGAAAACGCCCATGGAACAAACAGAGAAGAACAAGGCTGGACGCATAAGGGGATGCTTCACACAGAGAGAGAGAACCACACACACACACACACACACACACACAGTGTTGAGTACCATCATCATTAAGGACATGATCATCACAAACAAACAAACAACGGAAGGAAGCGAAAAAACAAACAAACAGTGTATATGTTGCTGCTCTAACTGTTCACACATTTACCCTGCTCTCTCTTCACTACTTCACTTTGTGAGCTGGTCCCACCCGTCCTCCATTCTCTGCACACTATTTGGAGCTGAGGGGCATCCACAAGAAAAGTATGAATACATTAATTTTTTAAATGGAAAACATTAAAATTTCAAAAAAAATAAAAAAAAACAAAATTCGTCGACAAAGGGGTACTTTCTTTGTGAACAGCATTAAAGAAAAGACAAAATCTGGCTACACGCTACAACCCCCGAGTGCGTGTGTGGGTTGTGTGTGGGGTTGTGTCTCACTGTCTGAGTGCTGGCCATAGACACTGCTGTTACAACGCGATGGGGGCGGAGGAATCAGATGGGAGGTGCAGCTACTGACAAAAAAACATTTGTCAGTCTTTGCGTTAGCTGGCCTCCCCCACCGACGGCCCCACCTTACTCCCTTACCACAGTCGATGACAGCGGGGGGCAACATGCGTCCCCTTGATTGGGAGAGGCAGCTATGCTTGTGCAGGGGTCCTTGTGTAACCGGAATGGACAAGCCGCAGGTACCTCATACCTGTATGTTTACCAAATTTCATCACAGCGGCCTTTCCTTTATAATCAACATCACAATAACTAACTATAAACATGTCAATGCAAGAACAAAAATTATATACATACATAGACCCCTGCCGATTAGGGCGCGGGCAACATGCTTTCCCCTGATTGTGAGAGGTGGCTATGCTTGCAGGGGTCACCTGTCTAGGCTTAGGAGAAGTGGTAGGTAGGTAGTGAGAGGTGAAATTGAGAGAGCTTAGAGAAGAATATAGCTTAGCTTTCATTAACAAAAGAAAAAAGAAAAAAAAAAACACCCTCCAAGTGATGCAAGCAAAATAATGAATGCGTCAGAACCGACAATCGGCAGGGAAGGAAGTCTTACATCTCTGCTAGATCCGATTTCTTCAAAAATATTTCCGATACTTATTATTATTATTATTAATTAATTTATAAATTATAAGCTTTATAAATGCAATCGACAAGAGTTTCTGGGCTATTTTGCCACACTGACGACCTGAAGCATGTAATCAATGCGGCCATCCCTGCTGCCTGTCAATCTTTCCATCACTTGCTCACTATAGTCGTCGACCTCCAATTTCTCACGGCCGCGCGATTGTTTATCTGCACACAAGTGACACAACACACAGCCCCCCCCACTGTAAGTTCTCTCCCTCTCTCGCTCTCCCCTCCAACATGCTACCACCTTTGTGCCACACAGACTTCATAACAGTCAGAAGAGAGCAGGTAGCCGGTAAGTGAATATCCAACAATAACGGGCAATCTTCAAGCAAATGGGCCAGCATTGGAACCGAAGGGCAGAGAAACTGAAGACATAGCATCATGGCTATGCTGGAATCCAACACCAGACCAATCCAAACGCGTCTGATTGATTGATTGATTAATTGACTGATTGATTACTTCCCAATCGTCCCAATCAATCAATCAAGCAAGCAATCAAATCAAGCAATCAAATCAATCAAATCAAGGAATCAGTCAATTGATTGATGTCTGGCAAGACCTCTGCCTGGATAGCTCCAGACTGTCGGATTGAACATCCCCCCCCCCCCGGTTAAAAAAATTAAAAAAAATTAAAAAAAATCGCATTTGTTTTTTTTTGAAAATTTCCTCTTATTTGGCTACGAAATTCGAGATGATCGTCAGCCAGAAGACTTTTGTATCGCAATGCTCAATAATTGTAGTATGACTGTATAACATATCTTTTTTGAAGTTTTTTCATATTTATAATTTTTTGAATATTCTTCCTATGGCTGATTTTTCTTTTTGTTTTTCGAGGGAAGGTTGGGGAAGGGTGGAATCCGGACGCTTCGGACTAGACAGCGGAACTGGACATCCAAACCCAGACTGTCTGCAGTGTGACGTCTGGATCGTAGCCATGCATTGCACAGAGAGGCAGAAGAGCAAAACCACAGACATAGAGAGACAGGCCTGTCTCTATGTCTAACCCAGAGAGGACAGAAAAAGGCAAAGAAAGAAAAACATGAAAAAAACTTAAAAGAGGGATCGTGAGAAAGGAATGCAAAAAAAGAATGATACAAATCCGTATTAAACCGCCAGTACCTTTGGCGTCCGGTTTCGACAAGTCTTGGCCAGTACCTGAACTTTCAGGAGGCCGAGCCCGACGTTGATCAATCTGACCGGCGGCCGTCATTTCGTTTCGGCCTCCTGAAAGGTCGGAGGTCGAGTATTTTCGAACCGACAAAGGTACTGGTGGTTTAAGAAAAGTAATGAAAAAAATCCCTGTTTTCAATCATGAAAAAACAAGTCCGAAAACGTCCTTCTCCAACATCTTTTAAAAGTCCCGTCTTTTCAACTGGAATGATACAGAGAAGGAAGCAATCGTTGACTTGTGACGTCAATACAGACACGTGAATACCAGCACGTAGACACTCCATGCAATCAAGATGTGAGCACACAATGAGTTCCAGCACATAGAAGGGTATTTTACTATTTTGCATCACCTTTCTATTATAACTTGTAAGTGATGTGGGCTGGATTCCGGGTGGGGTAATGTAGCCTTGGGCCCAAAAAAATGGAAAAAAAGGGAGAAAAAAGAAGGGTGATTAGCATGGCCCTCTTGAGCATTCTTCGAAGGATGACGCACACACAAGTCAAGAAATGGTCCAGATTCCAAAAAAAAAAGAAAAAAGAACAGTTTCAAAAAATTGCAACATAAGGTCATCATAATCAGCACTTCCTTCTTCCCTCGAACACAGCCACCCAGTCATCATGAATGTACATGAGCCAAGTTCCTGGCCTGATACAATCTTAATGATGATCAAGTATCCTGTTCGGGAGAAGACGGTACTCACCCACACCCATTCTTACCTTGCCTTTTTTCTTCTGCGTCGGGGGAGGACACAAGTGCTCCGTACGCCTTTGCCTGCAGCAGAAAAATGCAATCATATATCACGTCACATGTTTATTGACTTTATTAAAATTTAAAACTTAAAATTAAAATTTATCTGTGTAGGGATCCGGTCCGCCCGGGTGACCGGCAGGGGCCCGGGGGAGGTCCCGGGCGGCCTGGCCGGGCAGGGCACCCGGTTGGGGGCCGGCCCCCCCCAGTGCACTCACCTGTCGGGGGATTTCGGACCCCCTTTCGGGACCCCTTTGCGTGCGTGTGTGTGTGTGTGTGTGTGTGTGTGTGTGTGTGTGTGTGTGTGTGGGTGTGAGTTGTGTGTGTGTGTGTGTGTGTGTGTGTGTGTGTGTGTGTGTGTGTGTGTGTGTGTGTGWGAGAGAGAGAGAGAGAGAGAGAGAGAGAGAGAGAGAGAGAGAGAGAGAGAGAGATGTGTTCGAATCATACTTGCAGCGTATCTCATGCGCGGGGTGCCGCACGCACATGCACGCACGCACAAGTGATGCGGCGTATTAAAAAAGTAGAAAAACAAAAATGTCCTAGTTGTGTCCAGCCTCTTTTCGGAAGGATCCCTACAGCATATTAGCTAGGACCCGACGTCATGCAGAGATACACTTCAAACTTGTACTCCCTGAGGGTGGGCAGAGAATATATAGTCTGGGTTCGAATTCAGGTCTGTGCATGTTGGTTATGGGTCACTATTTCTCTGTTTTCTCGCTTTTCTTTTCTTTTCTCGTCTTTCTTTTCTTAGGAAATACGTGCAGTGGCCCTAAGGGCCTTTACTCACCAAATGCACAAAAGACAAAACATATGGTGGCGTATTATTCCACGTTCTGCAGAAGATTCATTCTAATTTTGCACATTTCGAGAGTAGTGCAGCCAAGCCCTAAGAGTCACGTGCAGAGACCAACAGGGCCTAGCTACGCGAGCAACCCATAACTGCTGAAACACAGTCCTGAATTCGAAGCTTGAGTTTATATTAGGCCAGCTCGTGCTCTATTTTATATTCACTCCCTGCGTCGATTTTGGTGGGGGGGTCTGCGCTACATGTCTGCGAGGACCCTTCAGATAGCCTGCATGGGCCGTCTGAGACGTTTATGATGTGAATTTTCCAATACGACATCCCGCCAAGCGGGTTTGCTGCTGTTGTCCACTCTGTGTGACTTTATACTCACTTGTGTGCGTGCATGCCTTTTGCCCTTGCCCTTACACACACACTCACCAAAAAAAAAAAAAAAAACGCATCTGCGCCCCATCACAGACACCCCAGCACCCCCCCCACCCACTAAAACCAAAATTTTATTGCAGATTCAGGGTCCTCTCGCGGAGCGCAGAACGACCCTGGTTTCAAAAAAAAAAAAAAAAAAATCTGGGCGTTTTTTTGTCCCGCCCGGTTTACCCGGGCGCCCCCCCCGGGCCCAACCGGCCGGGCCCAGCCGGGCGGCGTCCTCACTCAGAAATTTATTTATTTGTTTTTTTTTTCAAAGTTGTTTAACGAATTCGCGAGTTGAATAAACATTGAGAAAGTCATGAAAAAAGTCACAAAAGTGACAAAACCATATATAATAGTATACTTTATATAAAATTATAAATTATATAATTCAATTTAATTTAATTCATCGGTGCAGATTCCGCAGAAGGTCGCAAAAAGGAACAAAAAAAGAGATGGAAAAAAAAACGAGCACTGCAGAAAGACATTAGATTTGGCAAATCTGCAAAATTCATATCGCATGTTTACCGACGACTTTGGGCCTCTCTCCACTACGCAGCATACTGAATGTATGTGGACCTCTTAGAGGTCCGATACATGCAAAATGTTCAATCAGTCCAAAAGACTCCAGAGTCCAAATGCATCTGCTCTTGGTGCCAGTCCAGATCCCAGTTGAATGTTGAGTAGTGGAGCGAGGCCCTATGTCACACGTGCGTTGTTGTTTTTTTTTTGGACGCAATCTGACAACCACATTTTAAACCAAAAAACCTACGTTTGGAGAGAGAGAGACGCACTGGGCGTCATATTTTAAACCACAGTTTGAACCACCAGTACATGGCCTAACATTAAAAAAAAGTGGGCGGCAAAACTGAGAATGCGATTGAGCCTCTCCTAAAATTTTGGAGGCTCGGGACAGGGCGTCCGAAGGGCGAGACATTAAAAAAAAGTGTCCCATGTCGTGGGGTGGCATTAGGCCCAGGCCTGAACAAAAGAAAAAATTCCGCTGCCCCCAGGTGGGCCCTGTCCTGAGTCCCCAGTTTGCGACTCATATCGCGTTTCGTGTTTGCAACTTTGTGAGTCATTTGCATTTCCCACTATTTCTTTCATCGAATGCTTTTTAAGCATTTACCTGCACATAGACAATGTGCGGAAATGAGCATCCGTCTCTGCTCACACACGTACATGATAAGCGAAGAACGAACCAGATCAGAGGGGAAAAGGAAAAAAGAAGAAAACCAGGCTGGGTCTCGTACCCCCATTGTCGACACAGAACTCCAGATCTTGTGTCCCAGCTCCGCACTCTTCGTCGCCACATTCTCTCCGAATTCCTGCGCAGACCACACAGCACAAGATAGATTAGCATCATCATGGGGGTGATTGATGGTCATAACCCCATCATCATGGGGGGATTCCTGGTGATAACCCTGGTTGGTCGATGCATCGAATGGATTGTAAGTTTTTTATTACCCATGGCCCATGGGGTTACAATACCGGGACACTGCGAAATTCCTTCACCCGCGCCAAGTTGCGTCAGGAAGAAGAGCGGCTTTCTCTGCCTCCAAACTACTCCATACTCGGGCTTGTACAGCAGGTCCTCAAACCCTTACCAACGGAAGGAGGAAGATATCCAACTCTCACTCGCTACACTGAGCTCGACGCCGTCAAGGCGAAAGGCCTCTGCGCCCCTCGGTGAATCCACCCCTCAGAATGCTTTTGGCACATCATGAGGGTGCTTGAATCCTTACCAACGGAAGGAGGAAGAGAGACTTCTCTCCCTCAGAATGCTTTTGGCCAAGTTGCGTCAAGGCGAAAGGCCTCTGCGCCCCTCGGTAAACCACTAGACTACTAGTACCTTTGCCGCGTGGGAAAATAGCGGGCCTCGGGTGGGCCTCACAACCATTTCGGAGGCGGAAACGAAACAATGGCCGCCGACCAGATTTATCAATGGCAGCCGTCGTCGGGCCCGGCCTCCGACATTTTAGGAGTTTGGGAAAACGTCCACTTTTCCCTGTTTTCCCAACACTGGCGGAGGTACAAGTGCTTTAATCCAAAAAAAAAAAAAAAAAAAAAAAAAAACACTCTCACCTCAATTAGAAAACCAGTCATCTCTCCCATTCCCTCTCCTCCTCTCTCTCTCTCTCTCTCTCTCTCTCGCGCGCGCGCGCGGGTGATGCATGTGACAGAATGTTTTTTGCTTGCCCTCCTTCCCACCACTGGCCCTCCTCGCCCTCCTGTAGACAAATAGCCTCTTCCTCCTCCTCCCAATCTTCCCTACCCCCTTATGCAAGCATTCCCACAGGGGCTCTCACCCTCTCTATCATTCCTGCCAGCCCATAACACAGCACTGCACTGACTACATGATACCCTGCCAATGCCAACACCAGAGCTCCTCCTGACCTGACGGCCACAAAGCACTGCTGCAGCCGTCATGTCGACAAGCTTCGGTGGAAGAAGTCGAGCGGCTGGCTAGCGGGACTCAAACCCACAAGGCACGAAGTTCCACCACATCTTAAGTGTGGTGCGTAAAGTTAAGTTCCCGTAAACCAATTTCGCCATAGCCGTTTCTTTTGGAAGGTATGCAAACGGGCAAGAGAGAAACAAAAAGCCAAGCAACGAAAAACTGCATGCATCTGTCACTGACCTGCATGCCTATGTGCAACCTCTTTCCTCCTTTGTGGTAAGGTACATGTACCGGGCGCCGCTTCACATATTCACGAGAAACCAATGGCTCGATTCTGCAAGCAGGTCACGCAGTGGACAAGCGGTCAGACACACATCACCATCACCCGCGACAAACAAGGGCGGCAGACCCATAACCAAAATGGACATCAACAGAGCAAAAAAGAGGTCGGCGGACACATTAACAGTGGAACCCAGATGAGAAACAGGTCTCCCACTTTGATTGCCCCCCATCCTCCTCTCCTCCTCTCCTCCTCTCCTCCTCGCCTTCCAAACACAAGAACGACTTTACTTTTAACATAACATAAGGGCCATCGCAGGCATGGCCTAAAATGGAAAAAGCAGCATGCGTGCCATGCGCTACATTTTCAACAGTAGCTTGAGCATCATAATTGGTTGAACGACTAGATCCTTAAAAAATGATTTAAATTTTAAATCCCTCTGAAGTTCTGAACCAGAAGAGGACCAAATTCCTACCATCATGTCTGATGCACACTCAACCGGAAGAGGACCAGATCCCGACCAATATGTATAATGCAGTGACAACGCACTCAGGTTGGGTACTCATAGCTGGCAGACCTCTCTGCGCAGTGCGCCCTCATCATCTTTGGCTCCTTCCCTTTTTTTTTTCGTTTTTTTCTTTTTTCCATTTCTTTTTCTGCTTCTTGAATTACAGATTCCGATGTGTCAAACCATGGACGCAGTGCGATGACACGACAATACACCTTGGGTTTTTTATTGATGTCGCTTAAGATCTGTGTTGTCGATGGAGCTGTGTCTTACCTGTTATGTTATTCTCTGTTATTCACTGCCGGCCATCCCAGTATGCCCCGTTGATGCTATATCTACAATTCTTGCTATTTGGCATTTGCCGACGACTATCGTTATAAAAACCATCAACTACTGAAAAAAAAAAAAATCAAAATTCAAAAAATACAGAAAGAACCACCTACTTGAAAAGTTAAAAAGTTGCAAAGTTGAAAACATCATTCTCACAATTTCTCAGTGCATTGCATAACCCCATCGAAGTCGTCATGGAAAAAAAAAAAAAAACAACAGAATCAGCAGGTAAGCCTGAATAAGTGAGCATAAAATCGACTCTGGTAAAATCGACTCAGGATTAGAAGGAATAGAGGATATAAGGGCAACACACAATAGAGATAGCTTATCAATAGGCTAGCTAACTTAGGCAGCGGGCACGACCAGGTACATTCTTCCTTTCCGAAGGAATCAACGCCGCCCGCTCGGCTCGGATCTTCCAACCACAATGGGGAGAAGCATATAAGTGTGCCAATGATGCAATTGTTTGACTTGCAGGTGGAAAAGGAACCGGACTGACGCTCCCCAGAATGCATATGGACTATTATGGAGCCAGAACCGTAAGGTTTTATGTTTGGGGAAAAAAAAAGAAAAAGGTGGGAGACGGGGTGGGGGTTGGGAGTGTGTGTGTGGGGGGGG